TCTTAATTTCCTTGTATTAATTAACCACTAGTAAACTTATGTCCACTGTTCTTTTTTATAAATATAGGATTTATATTACATCTTCATTATAGTCGAATCGAGAATCAAATCAGGAATCAAAATCGAAAATTGAATCGAGAATCGAAATCGAATCGAACTGAGAGCTTGTGAATCGAAATCGAATCGAAATTGAAATGTGAATCGATACCCAGCCTAGGGGTGTGCGATATGACGATTTTTAATCGTGGACGATTAAAATGTCTCCACGATCTGCTTTTGAAGAAATATCGTAGTATCGTGTTGCAGTGCATTCTATCAGTTCAGTTCTGGCGCCTCCGTCTCTTAACTGTACAACGCGACGTAGCCTAGACATCACACGTTAATGAATAGGTACGGGACACTGCAATTCACAAAAGTTCATTATTTGCATAAGCCTTGCCGGTTAAACATTTAATTCACGCGCTAATGCGCTGTTCTAACGTGCGCTTTCCTGACCGCATACCCCCCGACGCTCACAGGAACTAGAAGCCTGTCAAACAGCGCCTGAAAACTGGACTAAGTTATCTTTCGAGTCTTATTATGCTAATACTGTTAAATACACACAATGTTTACATAAACAGGCTATGTCTAAAGTGAAAGCAAACATTTGAGAGAATATCTGGTGTAATATGCGTCTATATTAAATGCGTCGCGTGCTGGTCTAAAAGCAACAGGAATAAATAGTAGCCTACTGCCGCTTGTCCTTAAAGGGATAGTTCACAAAAAAAAATAATAATAAATAAAAAACGTCATTATTTACTCACTCTAATGTTGTTCCAAACCTGTATTAATTTCTTTCTTGTGCTGAACACAAAAGACTTTTTTTTTTAATGTGGGTAACCAAACAGTTGCTGGTCCCCATTAACTTCCAGGAGAGAACCTATAAAAACTATAGGGGGACCAGCAACTGTTCGGTTACCCACATTATTCAAAATAACTTTTATTTTCAACAGAAGAAAGAAACTTATTCGGGTTTAAAACATCTTGAGTGAGTAAATTAAGACAATTTTCATTTTTGAGGGAACTATCTCTTTAGTGTTAATAAAACAAACAAAAAAAAAAACACAAGGAGAAAATCACTCACTGACTGAGAACTTTAATATAGCTTTAATAAGAATCAATTTATTCAGTGAAGTCTATGTAGTGTTTTAATTTCATATTTGTTCATTTAATTTCTTCAATGCTACTGCTAAATACACCTACTGCATCTGAAAAAATAAAGCACTATTTATTTAATATGAATATTAATTTGTGTAATGTTTATCTTGTCTTATTTTTTTAATAACAAAGAAAATAATGACAACGATTTTTATCTTCGCCACTGGCCTAAACGTGTGGCTTTCTTTTTTCTTTTGTTACCTAAGGCTTTGTTTTTAACGGACTTTAGTTTGGCTGTAATGAACAGCCACTTGCAAAATATTAAAACCAACTTGAAAAAGAATCGTGATAAAAAATCGTGATCGTGATTTTCCTAAAAAAAATCGTGATATGATATTTTTTCCATATCGCCCACCCCTAACCCAGCCCTAACGAACAACCATGAAAAGTATGGCAATTTCTTCAACGCTTACAGAAAAACTACCATTTACATCCAGTCGATGGTGTGATGATTGTTAATGTGAACCTGAGGGACAATGACCAAAAGAGGATAACTGAAAGTATTGAAAACAGAGTTGGCAAGTCTCAACAAAACATTGAGGCTGGATGGGAAGCTGTACGAACATTCTTGTTTGAGCTGAAACCTGCAGAGTTTAATTGGGCTAGAATTAGTACGCAGAAGATTGGAGAAAGTGTTGCAGAGTTTAAAGAACGCTTCACACAAATTTGGTTGGAACATGCTGGTTTGAACGACAGCGAGGATCTTGATAACACACCACGTCTCCTTCCATAAATAATAATAATGTCTAGTGCGGTGGCTGTGATATAGCCTACCAACATCCGTTGCCATTATTTTTGGAATGACTTATTGTGAAAGTTAAAAAAAGATGTTTTAGTTGCATAACATCGTTAATGGAAACGCCATCATTTCACATTATTTTTTTAATCGACATTCGGAAGAAAAAAAACGCAAAAGTTTTGTGCAAATATGTATTGACGCCACTTAACCAAGCAAAAAGGTTTCACTCGGTTATGAAATTTTAAATGGTTAATCGGATAACCGGTTAATCCTTGACGCGTGATCGGCTATTTAAAACTGACGTATGCAACGTGCGCTTTGGGGCCACCAAATACACGCGTTTTCGACGCGCATTTATAATAACAAAAATGGCCGTTGAAAACATGTGTTTTGACTAGAACAAAACGTACGCTTTTGACGTGTAAACAGTTAAACCAAACAAGCTGTACAAACGTGTGTGAACTTTTCAGAGAGGCCGAGTGTGTCTGCACGCGCACGAGAGAGGCCGAGTGTGTGAGAGTGAGAGAGACATTGGTAAATTGGTACATAGTAATATATAATTATTATATAAGAGGCATGGAAGTTTGATGAATGGACAACAATATAAATAAAAACAACAATTAAATTCTTAGCACTGAACTAGAATTATTTATTGCTAAAACATATTCCAGTGGGCCAGTGGGGATTTTTTTATGTTGAGCCCTGCATTAGGCATGCTCGCTTTGCTAAAACATATTATCTGATTAATTATTATCATCTGGGCTCTTTCTGATACTTGATAGGAAGACAAGAGGACAAATGATTGGGAAGACCAATCTCAATCCATTGTCTCAGTTTTTACACAAACTGTAGCATTGACTATATTCATCAACCCTGTTACCAAAGTTACTGTAAGAAGAATCTCTGACTATAACTATTAATGACTTATATTATATTTGACAAATACAACTTTAGCAGTAACTTAGTGTTTACTGATTATTCCCAAAAAAAAAAAAAAATTTGTAAACTGTTGAAAATTACTAAAATTCTTGTAACGTTGTTGCAAATTGGGAACCAGATATAAAATAAATGTAAAATAAAACAGTTAAAATAGTCTGAGGTTGACGATCAATATAAAAATGTCTCAAATCTCCCTTTACTGACCATTTGTTGAAGAAACCCAGAACATTCTGTACTATTTCATAGTTGAACTGTTTATCTAAAAGTGATGAAGTGCTTGAATGTTTCTAACATGAATGTTCTCCAGCATCATGAATGAATGAAGAGTAAACACCAACCTCTTTGTTCTTCAGGATCTTCAGTGTGTTTCATTCTGCAGGGTTCTGGATCACTCATGTTCTCACTGTCCTCTTTAATAAACTCAGTCTTTGCAGATTTCAGCTCTTCCTGATGCTCTGATGCTCGTCTTCACTTGAAGCTGATGGGAATTTACAGCATTTATTGGAGAATTGCAGTGGGAGGAGCTTCACTGATGATGTGATTGCAGTGGGAGGAGCTTCCCTGATGATATGGATGCAATGGGAGGAGCTTCACTGATGTCTTCCAGTATGGGAGGAGCTGATCTGCCAAAATAAAAAAATTATATAAATGAATGAAGAAAAATACAAAAACACAAGTGGAACGTAACAAGTAATGAATATTGGCCTAAGTCACTTACATTTTAGACACTGACTGTTTTTGTTCCATTTCAGCAGCTCCAAAATAGTTCCAAACAAAGATCATAGAAGAACCGTAACGCATATCTGACAAACACATAATCGTGACTTCATCTGTACGATTCAGTGTTTTGAACAAATTATTTTGAGTCAAAGATTCACTGAACCATTTATACTGTATATTGATCTAATTTAAGAATTTAAAGGGATCCCATGGTATAAAAACATATATTGCTGTTACTATCTTAATTATTATTTGTCACATGGAAGATATAGACTATGCAACATAACACTCTAAACATAATTAATTCAATTTCAGAGGGCACTAATTAAATGAATAAATTAACCATGTTGATAAATGGTGTTATAAATTGGGGAGATGACCACACAACATTAGTGTCTTCTGAATTTTAATTCTTGCTGCCACATTCCAACAATGGATCCAAAAATGAATGAAGAAATCATGAATTACAAAACTCAAGGCACATACCCATTTGACATAAAAAAAGACAGATAAATACGTAGTTCATAGACATTCCTCCAATTTCCAAATTGATGGCAAATAATAATTATTCTACACAGTAATTCACAGCTGGAATTAAAAGAGACCTTGAGCCTTTACAAGAGGAATAAAGAGACCCCTTTGTAATTTTTTTAATGCATTTATTTTTTGTAATTATTATTTACCTTAATTGATATGTGCCTTGCTTAATACTCATTTACCTGTATCTATCAATGCCATTGTATTCTGTTTTTGTTCTATTCTTATTGTTCAATTAAACTTTTTTTTTTTAAGTTTAAAAAAGTAAAATAAAAAATGTATGGTAACTCGGCAACTACGCATTGTATGATTGTGTAAAGGGAACAGGAATTCCGGTAGGGAACAGAATCAACTGCCATACCCCCCCACTTCCTTCCCTTTACACATCCTTCTCTTCACTTAGAAAGATTACAATACATATAACATTATAATGTTCTATATCAAAGTGAATTAACAGATGTTCGATCAATAAATGTTGATTTAATATGGCTAAATCAATGTAAAGTATTTAGCAGTATCTTTTCCAGTATATTTTAATAATGACAATTGAGATCGATTCTGTAGAAAATGTACTGTACAATGGTAATGTTGGTCCAAAAACTAGCCTACATGTGACTAATCCAGTTCTCCAGTAAAGAATCAACGTTATACACAAAAAAAAACGAGTTATGTATGTGTCCTCATTCAACAGATTTCTATCAATTCCACTCACAGATCACAAACTTTGACTTTTGACTTGACATTCAGTAAAAAAGTTCTCACTTCAAACATCGAAACAATCACACAAACGAACACAAAAGCACACAAACGAACAAAAAAAGCACAAAATCGCTCAGGTATGAATGAACTCCACATATTCTCCTCAGACTCGCTGCTGCTGCACTAAATGTGTATTTCAGGAGGAAGACGCCAGAAAAGACGGACAGAAAAGTGTCGCTGTGATCGATGAAAACAACACAGAAATGGGTCTGTCGCTTAATCAAACTGTATAAAGTGTGTGTGAATAAAAGAAATACCGTGAACTGCTCTCCTCGCCTCAGAAGACTCGACGCTGAAACTAGTTCAGTTAATCGTTCTCGTTCACTGAAATACATCCCGCCTCAGCAGCGCGGCGTTATTCGCAGCGAGCGCATGCGCACTGAAACTCAATGACGGAAGAGACGGCGCGAGTGAGCGGTGACGTCATCAGCAGCAACCGTAAATGTTCGAAAACGCGCCAACAGACACTTTAAAACACTTCATAAAATCTACCCGTGTAAAGCTTTGTTATCCAAATTCATGGACATTGACAAAAAATGTTCTTTTAATGTAAATGAGGAAGATTTGGCTCATCTGTTTTATAAATGTGATTTATCTAAAAAAGTTTGGTCAGATTTTAGTCTGAAGTTATTTTCTTCTTGCTCCAAGAAAAGTGAATTATAAATTATCTCTAAATGATTGTATGAATATGTGGTGAATTCCATACATTTTGCATGGTAAATATTATATCCATAAGCAAAAATTAGCAAAATGCATCGTAGCCTATTCTTAATAGAGATTGAATCATTGAGGAAGTATTTAAAATTAATTAAAAATAAAAAGAATGAAACGTTCTTAAACTTTGTGGAGGAATTCTTTAAATTGTAATTAATGCCCCCATATGTTTACCAAATTCCATGAACATTGAACTTGTCAAAAGGAAAAAGGAAGAAATATTTAGTTTTTTTTTCTTTCTCTCTTGTTGTTTCTTTTTGTTTTGGAAACTTATTTCAGGACATGTGATATTTGTCATGTGAAGCATTCTTGGTGTATGCTGAAGTCTGTAATTTGAATTATTTGTCAATAAAAATAAAATAAAATAAAATAAAAACGGGCCAACAGACTGTGAATCATATGGTCGCTCGTTTGTGTAATGTGTAACAAATCTTAAAAGACAGAGAGGATCCACACCGGAGAGAAGCCGTTCTCATTTGAAAAAATTATGTTATTTTTTGTATTATTTTTCTTTATTCATTTTCATAATAATTTCATAGAGTATTTTATGTGTATATGTGTGCTGAGGTATATTTTGCATACAAGTACACTCAACAGATGATGATACAGTACCGTCGGAGACCGGGCTGAACAAAACCATATGCGTTTCGTCATTTTTGGTGGAGCATTCGCGGAAATATTAGCCGAAAACCGTCGGCCGAATATCTCGGTGAAAAATCAACATTTCAGTGCCAATTTTTTTTTTTTGAGTGGAGAACGGACCTTCCGAAAGAGACCACCCCCAGCCTCGTGGGCCCCCGGGGGCCCGAGATACAGGCCCCCAAAGCCCCTCCGGAAGCGAAAATCGCAAATATCTCGGCAAAAAAATCAACGTTTCGACACCAAATTTTTATAGAGTGGAGAACGGGCCGATACCTTTCGAAAGAGACCACCAAAAGCCTCGTGGGCCCCTGGCAGCCCGAGATACAGGCCCCCAAAGCCCCTCCGGAAGCAAAAAATGCATATATCTCGGCGAAAACTCAACGTATCCGTCGGAGACCGGGCTCCTTCGAACCGTCTCGCCGAACTGAACAAAACCATATGCGTTTCGTCATTTTTGGTGGAGTATTCGCGGAGATGTTAGCCGAAAACCGTCGGCCGCGCCCTGAAATGGTGCCCGCTGAGGAAGTCACGAGCTCGGGAGAAAATCGCAAATATCTCGGCAAAAACTCAACGTATCGATGCCAAATTTTTATCGAGTGGAGAACGGGCCGATACCTTTCGAAAGAGACCGCCCCCAGGGCCCGAGATACAGACCCCCACATAAGAAGCAGGACGTAACTCCAGCCAAGTGTGGTGGCTGCGATCGTTTAAAGACATAGTACATGATTTGAGATATGGGGTTCCCGTGTCTTTAAAAGGGCAAAAATAGAAATTGTGTCAAAAAGAAGTTTTAGAATCTCTAGTACTGTTACATGAAACATAAATAAATTGCCTTAAAGAAAATCGTTCCAATAAGGAAACAATTCAGTTTATGTGCGGTTCCAGTGAATTTGATTTAACACTAAATGTGTGACTGTATTTAGCGGTTTGTTTGTGTGACCATGCTCCAATCTAAGGTGCCAAAGGTTGCTGATGACAATTGTGATGCAAATTTGGTCCTGTTGCGGCAAGTGACCAGCACTTTTCCTCTGTATGGCCTGTTTTGTGACAGGAACCAATATTTTTATTATGTAGATACTTTTCATTACTAAAACATCTAATTGCCAGATTTCCAGTGTCCTACCTATAAAGGAACAACTAAAAAAAACTTTAAAAGTCGTTTTTCTCAGTTCCACACTCTAGCAGGTTAAGGTCTTTTGCCTTTGTAGGGCAGTGCACATGTGGTCCTGCAGTTGTAAGCAGGAATTCCTGGAAAATTATACTCTTGTGGATAACACCTTCAATTCCAGAATACTCCTCAAAAAGTTCAAACATATTTTCTGCATGGGTCTCAAACGATTCTTCAGTACTCTGTTTCCGATTGAAAAACAATTCCCATCCAACAGGACTACAAACCCGCGGATCATAAAGGTATTGTTTTAGTCTATTCAAGATTTCACTCTCAGGCTCATTTTGATACACTGACTGCACAATGGTGCCTGTCTTCAAAACGTGTAGTATCTTTAGATCAGAACATCTGGAATTGAGCTGATAACAATTTGCCAAATATCTTTTGGTTTGAGCTGAAATGCATGTTTTAGGTCGCAAAATGTGACAATTTACACTTGGTCTAGTGCACTGTATAGTGTTTTTATATGAGCGCCACCTACTGTCAGAGAGTGATTTTTTTTCCCCGCATTGATCTGAACTGACAAATTACACATTCCTGATGGTTGAACACGGGGTTGTAAGGGGTGGTGATGGCGCAGTGCCACATGCCTTTGGTGTGAGAGACCCAGGTTCGAATCCACTGTGAGACACCAATGTGTCCCTGAGCAAGACACTTAACCCCTAGTTGCTCCAGAGGCGTGCGACCTCTGACATATCAATTGTAAGTCGCTTTGGATAAAGCGTCTGCTAAATTAATAAATGTAAAATGTAGATATAATAGAGTCCTGTGCTCACCACACACCGGCTAGGAGAGATTTGGCTATAGGGTGATGTGTGGCTAACTTACACAGAAGAAACTTACATACCTACCGTGATTTCAGACTGTGTTTAAGTGCTTCAGGTGAGTTTTAATAGAGAAACTCGACCCACACTTTTTTATTTTTATTTATTTATTTATTTGATAGGGACAGTGCACATTAATGAACTTCTGAATTGAGACAACAAAACAGACGTAAACATGTCGGATTATAGCCACAGGGCTAATTTACATCACTGATCACACATGTGCGGCTTCTGTCCAGTGTGGATCCTCTCATGGGTTTTCAGATGTTCTGACCGACTGAATCTCTTGTCACAGTGTGAACACTTGTAAGGTTTTTCTCCAGTGTGGATCCTCTCATGTGTTTTCAGAGATGATGAGTGACTGAATCTCTTGTCACAGTGTGAACACTTGTAAGGTTTTTCTCCAGTGTGGATCCTCTCATGTTTTTTCAGAGATGATGAACGACTGAATCTCTTGTCACAGTGTGAACACTTGTAAGGTTTTTCCCCAGTGTGGATCATCTCATGTGTTTTCAAATGTCCTGAATGACTGAATCTCTTGTCACAGTGTGAACACATGTAAGGTTGTTCTCCAGTGTGGATCCTCTGATGTGTTTTGAGAGATGACGACTGACTGAATCTCTTGTCGCAGTGTGAACACTTGTAAGGTTTTTCTCCAGTGTGAATTCTCTCGTGGTGTTTTAAACTGTCCGCTGTAGTAAAAGTCTTCTCACACTCAAAGCACATGTACTCTCTCACACCAGTGTGAGTTTTTTCATGTCTATGTAAAGTTGGCAGCTGTGAAAAACTCTTTCCACAGACAGAACATGAATACGGCTTCTCCTTTGTATGAACTCTCAGGTGTGTCTTCAGGTGTGATGCACTGAGAAATGTCTGTCCGCATTGATCACATGTGAACGGCTTCTCTCCGGTGTGGATCCTCATGTGATCATTAAGGGATGAAGATAGACTGAAACTCTTCCCACACTGATCACATTTGAACGGCTTCTCTCCGGTGTGGATCCTCATGTGAATCTCAAGATTAGCTTTGGTTGTGAAACTGTTTCCACACTGAGTGCAGGTGAAAGATTTCTTGGCTCGTCTTTTCTTTAAAAATATACTTTTAGTCTTTGAGCGACTCAAAGGTTTTCCTCCAGGTTGGACATGATGATCCTCCTCCACTTCACTCAGTTTTTCTCTCTCCTCCTTCACTTCACTCAGTTCTTCTCTCTCCTCCTTCACTTCTCTCAGTTCTTCTCTCTCCTCCTTCACTTCTCTCAGTTCTTCTCTCTCCTCCTTCACTTCACTTCGTTCTTCTCTCTCCTCCTTCACTTCTCTCAGTTCTTCTCTCTCCTCCTTCACTTCACTCAGTTCTACTCTCTCCTCCTTCACTTCACTCAGTTCTTCTCTCTCCTCCTTCACTTCACTCAGTTCTTCTCTCTCTCCTTCACTTCTCTCAGTTCTTCTCTCTCCTCCTTCACTTCACTCAGTTCTTCTCTCTCCTCCTTCACTTCACTCAGTTCTTCTCTCTCCTCCTTCACTTCACTCAGTTCTTCTCTTGCCTCGCTTTCTTCCATCAGGTCTGAATGAAAGAAAAAAAATAGTACATTTAATTTTCAGTACATCAAAATGATTCAAAGAGAGAAATATAAAGTGAAAGGATATGAAAGTGAGTCCTAATGTAATAGTAGAAAGTAGACAACTGCTATAAAATACGGTCCTTAAACGTTCCATGAAAGATGTAGCGGCAACCTATAGCCGCTGAGAGGCTAAGTAGCAGGAAATATCCGTGACGCGTTTTCTTGCAATGAATATTCAGTAACCCCTTATGACAGAATTATATAAAAGGACCGTGACGTCGCCGGTATGGCACAGCCGGGGCCCCACCCTGGAGTCAGGCCCGGGGTTGGGGCTCGTATGCGAGCGCCTGGTGGCCGGGCCTCTCCCCACGGGGTCCGGCCGGGCTCAGCCCGAAGAAGCGACGTGGGACCGTCTTCCCGTGGGCTCACCACCTGCAGGAGGAGCCGTAAGGGGCCAGTGCAGAGAGGATCGGGCGGCAGTCGAAGGCAGGGGCCTTGGCGACCTGATCCTTGGACACGGAATCTAGCCTTAGGGACGTAGAACGTCACCTTACTGGCAGGGGAGGAGCCCGAGATTGTGCGTGAGGTTGAGAGGTTCCGACTAGAGATAGTCGGGATCACCTCTACGCATGGCTTGGGTTCTGGAACCACAGTCCTTGAGAGAGGATGGACTCTTCACCACTCTGGAGTTGCCCATGGTGAGAGGCGGCGGGCTGGTGTGGGTTTGCTTATAGCCCCCCAGCTCAGCCGCCATGTGTTGGAGTTTACTCCGGTGAACGAGAGGGTCGTTTCCCTGCGCCTACGGGTCGGGGATAGGTCTCTCAATGTCGTGTGTGCCTACGGGCCAAACGGCAGTGCAGAGTACCCGGCCTTCTTGGAGTCTCTGGGAGGGTTGCTGGAAAGTGCCCCGACTGGGGACTCTGTTGTTCTACTGGGGGACTGCAATGCTTACGTGGGCAACGACAGTGACACCTGGAGGGGCGTGATTGGGAGGAACGGCCCCCCTAACCTGAACCCGAGTGGTGTTCAGTTATTGGACTTCTGTGCTAGTTACAGTTTGTCCATAACAAACACCATGTTCAAGCATAAGGGTGTCCACCAGTGCACGTGGCACCAGGACACCCTAGGTCGTAGGTCGATGATCGACTTTGTGGTCGTTTCATCTGACCTGCGGCCGTATGTCTTAGACACTCGGGTGAAGAGAGGGGCGGAGCTGTCAACTGATCACCACCTGGTGGTGAGTTGGATCCGATGGCGGGGGAGGAGGCTGGACGGACTCGGCAGACCCAAGCGTACTGTAAGGGTTTGCTGGGAACATTTGGCCGAATCTCCTGTCAGAAAGATCTTCAACTCTCACCTCCGGCAGAGCTACGACCAGATCCCGAGGGAGGCTGGAGATATTGAGTCTGAGTGGACAATGTTCTCCACCTCCATTGTCGAAGCGGCTGCTCTGAGCTGTGGGCGTAAGGTCTCCGGTGCCTGTTGAGGCGGCAATCCTCGAACCCTGTGGTGGACACCGGAAGTAAAGGATGCCGTCAAGCTGAAGAAGGAGTCCTATCGGGCCTGGTTGGCTCGTGGGACTCTGGAGGCAGCTGACATGTACCGGCAGGCCAGGCGGACTGCGGTCCGGGTGGTCCTGGAGGCAAAAACTTGGGCCTGGGAGGAGTTCGGTGAGGCCATGGAGAAGGACTATCGGCTGGCCTCGAAGAGATTCTGGCAAACTGTCCGGCGCCTCAAGAGAGGGAAACAGTCCCCTACCAATGCTGTTTACAGTAGGGGTGGGCGGCTGTTGACCTCGACTGGGGATGTCGTTGGGCGGTGGAAGGAATACTTCGAGGACTTCCTCAATCCTGCCGTCACATCTTCCATTGAGGAAGCAGAGGCTGAGGGCTCAGGGGTGGACTCGTACATCACCCTAGCTGAGGTCACCGAGGTAGTCAAGAAACTCCTTGGTGGCAAGGCACCGGGGGTGGATGAGATCCGCCCCGAATACCTCAAGCCTCTGGATGCTGTGGGGCTGTCTTGGTTGACGGTCGGGGACAGTGCCTCTGGGATGGCAGACCGGGGTGGTTGTTCCTCTTTTTAAGAAGGGGGACCGGAGGGTGCGTTCCAACTACAGGGGGGTCACACTTCTCAGCCTCCCTGGGAAAGTCTATGCCGGGGTACTGGAGAGGAGAATACGGCCGATAGTGGAACCTCGGATTCAGGAGGAACAGTGCGGTTTTCGTCCGGGCCGTGGAACACTGGACCAACACTATGCTCTCTACAGGGTGCTGGAGGGTTCATGGAAGTTTGCCCGACCAGTCCACATGTGTTTTGTGGATTTGGAGAAGGCATTCAACTGTGTCCCCTGAGGCGGCCTGTGAAGGGTGCTCCGGGAATATGAGGTCCGGGGTCCTTTGCTAAGGGCTGTCCGGTCTCTGTATGACCGAAGCAGGAGCTTGGTTCGCTTTGCCGGTAGTAAGTCAGACTTTTTCCCGGTGCATGTTGGACTCCGGCAGGGTTGCCCTTTGTTGGCGGTTCTGTTCATAATTTTTATGGACAGAATTTCTAGGCGCAGCCAGGGGCCGGAGGGTGTCAGGTTTGGGGACCACACGATTTCGTCTCTGCTCTTCGCGGATGATGTTGTCGTGTTGGCCCCTTCATACCAGGACCTTCAGCATGCACAGGGACGGTTTGAAGCCGAGTGTGAAGCGGCTGGGATGAAAATCAGCACCTCCAAATCCGAGGCCATGGTCCTCAGCTGGAAAAGGGTGGCTTGCCCACTTCAGGTTGGTGGAGAGATCCTTCCTCAAGTGGAGGAGTTTAAGTATCTTGGGGTTTTGTTCACGAGTGAGGGAAGGATGGAACAGGAGATTGACAGACGGATCGGTACAGCTTCAGCAGAAATGCGGTCGATGTACCGGTCTGTTGTGGTGAAGAAGGAGCTGAGCCGCAAGGCAAAGCTCTCGATTTACTGGTCAATCTACGGTCCTACTCTCACCTATGGTCATGACCGAAAGGACAAGATCCCGGATACAGGCGGCCGAAGTGAGCTTTCTCCGCAGGGTGGCTGGGCGATCCCTTAGAGATAGGATGAGAAGCTCGGTCACTCGGGAGGAGCTCAGAGTAGAGCCGCTGCTCCTCCACATCGAGAGGGGTCAGCTGAGGTGGCTCGGGCATCTGTTCCGGATGCCTCCTGGAGGCCTTCCTGGGGAGGTGTTCCGGGCACGTCCCACTGGGCAGAGGCCCCGGGGAAGACCTAGGAAATGCTGGAGAGACTATGTCTCCCGGCTGGCCTGGGAACGCCTCGGTATCCCCCCAGAAGAGCTGGAGGAAGTGTCTAGGGAGAGGGAAGTCTGGGCATCTCTGCTTAGACTGCTGCCCCCGCGACCCGGGCCCGGATGATCGGAGGAAGATGGTATGGAATATTCAGTAGCTTTTATTGACATGGTAACAGACTACGCGTAGAGACAACGAAGAACATACATGTAAAGCTCAACAGAAAGTGAGCACTCCCGCTACTCACCCCCTCTCTACGCTACCCGAACAGGAAACACTACCAGGTATATACACACCAATACCCATGTGACCGACACACCTGGAAACGTACACACAAATTACAAAATAAAAGACAAAACGTTTTCTACACTTACAAAAGATATGGAAACTTGTTTCCACCACTGAATAAAATTAAATAAATAATTGTGACTTTATCTCACAATTGCGAAATATGAAGTCAGAATTGTGAGAAATAAAGTCGCAATTGCGAGATATAAAGTCGCAATTCTGAGAAAAAAAGAGAATTCTGACTTCATAACACGCAATTGCAACTTCAGGGTATCCCATACATGCATTAGCGCAGCGTTGATTCGCTCACTTATTTAGAAGCCAGTATTCCTCTATTTTGTCTTTTATGAATTTAATAAATAACTCTGTCTCGTATTCTGTCCAAACACACATTTTGGGTATCTATACTTTACTGGAGTAATTATTTTTCAGACGACTTTTTACTTCTACTCCTTACATAAGCTATTCACGCAATTATCTGTAGGCTACTTTCTACTCCTTTCATTTTAATAAATAGCCTCCTCAGTTATGGCATTGCGGCTTGACATCCTCGTTTCGTTCTTTTGTATTTATCTCGCGTAAAAACTGTTTATAATACATTCAATATGCCGCAGGCGCAGTGCCCAAAATGTCTCTGGCCGCGCCACTCTCACTATGGAACTGGCAGGAATCAAGGGAGTCTCTCCTGGATAGAGATGGCTCGATACCACAATTTTGGCTTCGGTACGATACCAGAACCTAATACCTCGGTATCGATACTAAATCGATACCACAGTTGGGGTAAAAAAAAGTGTCTAAATTTAAGTGAATTGAAACAATTTTATTAAACACTGCTTGAAACTCTCAACTACCATATGTGCAAAGAAGATTGATATTCATTTTACTAAAACGTTTTAATTATTAATGAAATGAGCTTT